AATTTACCAGTTAAAAAATTCCACGTGACTAAATAACCTGTTAACCTATTAACTCTTAATTTTAACGATTAATTAACCGGTTAAAGAATTTTTGCGCGGTGCCAACCTCTATTTCTGTTTCTGGATTGTTCCACCTGGTGGTGCTGATATGGATACTGATATAGGAGTTTGGATTTTCATTGAATGTAATATTGCGAATAAGAAAATTTACAATTGAATTGACTTTATTTTATTATCTTTTTTATGTTAATAAAGGTTTCTTTTAACAATGCATCCATCCAAATAATGTATTTGCGATGAGTTGATTTTCATTGGTTGGTTTTCTCTAATCAGCCAATCACGATTTTATTCAGCAAGATTGATAACGTAAAAGAATTTTGGGTTCAAAAAAAAAACCGAGATTTAACAAAATTAATTATTGAAAGTTTAAAAAAGTTGGATTTTTTTAGTCCAGATACAACAAAAAAAAATGAGCGAGTCAACGCACGGTCATTTATTCGTGTTCCGGCTCTCAACAGAGAATCCCAAACATTGATCAATTGATATTAATAATTGATTCAAATAAATGTCAAGAATAAATACTTTAATGCACAAGATTTTTTTATTTATAGAAATAAGAAGTTAGCTCATTTGGATGATGAATGGTTACTCAGATCCAATGAAAGTGAGAAAAAGAAATATCTGAACAGGCAATTAGGATATCCAATTTCTCGGTAAAAACTTATGTTAAAGCCATGAAAATATGTATGGGGCCTACTTACTATCAGAATTTTTTTTATCGCATGTTCCCAAAAATAAAATGGCTCAATCCACTAAATTTCCGGTTTTTTTTTTTAAATACAATAATTATGAAGATCGAAGGGGGCAAACGATTTTATATTGAAACAATGTGTTTAATATCAAGTTTCATAAAATCTAGATTGAATTTTAGTTGAATCTTACCTGTTGAAAATTCTAAAGATATTTCCCTCAATTGAATAATTAAAAAGATCACACTACATTCAATTTAGGTTTGAATAAAGAAAAATAAAGAAGGAAGAGGGACGAAGCTAACGATATTTTGGGTAAGAGGAAAGTGGAGATCTTTTCAGATATTTAAAATTCAAAAATTTCCCGAAAAAGGGACAGTATGTATTATAAATATAAATATGAAATATGATTCGTGTGTTAATAATAAATTATTGTGCCGTGTAACTTTTTGAAATTTTTGTTTTGCATCAAAATTTATTGATTTCTTTACTAAAAATATATTTATTCAAAATTTTTTTCATTATATAAATAGTTGTAGAAAGCGAGCGAACGATCAAAATAATCAATTCATTCCTTCATTCAAAAAAAAAAAAAATAAATAATTTTTTCATTCTTTTATTTGTAAAAAAAAATATAATTATTCAAATAAAAATTATTTATATAAACTTATATAATAAATACCATATAATATTATCCGCTTTTTTTAAAAAAGAAAAAAACATCCTTAAAAAATTCTTTTTTTATATAAAAATTTAAGAAATGCCACCATCTGTTACTACCGAAGTACAAGCACATAAATTTACAGGACATCTTGGAAATTTAAGTCCACAACAAGCAGAAGCATTAGAACAATTTCGACAAGAACTTAAAGACGAGGGTGTGTTTAACGAGGACCGACACGATGATGATTATTTACTCAGGTTTTTAAGAGCAAGAAAATTTGATCTAGTTAAAACCAAAAAAATGTTTATTGATTGTGAAAACTGGAGAAAAGATTTTGGTGTTGATGAGTTGGTTAAGACGTTTGATTATAAGGAACGTGATGAAGTGATGAAATATTATCCAAGATATTATCACAAAACTGATAATGATGGTCGACCTATTTATATTGAAGAAATTGGCAAAGTTGATATTAAATCTTTATATCAGGTTACCACAGTTGAACGACAAATTCAAAATTTAGTGGTCGAGTATGAAAAACTTGGTTATATTAGATTACCGGCTTGTTCATTAAAACAGGGTGAACTTATTGAAACAACATGTACAATTTTAGATCTTAAAGGTGTTTCTATTCGATCATTCTCTAATGTTTTTGGATTTGTGAAACAAGCGTCTAATATTGGTCAAAATTATTATCCTGAACGTATGGGTAAGTTTTACATCATTAATGCTCCGATGCTTTTCTCTTCTGTTTGGGGTTTAGTAAAACCATTACTTGATGAGGTTACAGCTGCCAAAATCATAATTTTAAATAGCAAGTATCAACAAACTTTATTGGAAAACATTCCAGCTGGAAATTTACCAGCTGCTTTTGGTGGAAGTTGTAATTGTAAAAATGGTTGTCAATTTTCTGATGCTGGTCCATGGCAAGAAGAAAAACAACTCATTGTTAATGGGTCCAAAGAAAATTTTATTTAATAATAGATAGATGGAAATATTATTATAATAAACATTATATAAAATAATAACGATTTTTCTTGTAAAATTTTCTTGATTTATATTTAATGTAAATAATAACAATATTGTTATTATTATAACTAGACACAACAAAAATAAAATAGATGTTTCATAATATAAATAAAAAATATACAAATTATATATATTAATATATATATATATATATATATATATATATATACAAATAAACAAAGGCAAAGTGAAATACTTTATTTTATTTGTAAAATTGACATTATTATGTAAAACAATTGAACTTTTTCTTTAGCCATCAAGAAAATCCAGCAAATCATCATCATTTCAAAAAAATCAATATAATTATGAATATCTGATGTTGTGTAGGGAAGTTGTGAGATTCTAAAATTCATAATCAATAATTCCTAAATTTTGATAGTTTTTCAACATTTTATCAAGTCTATAATACCTTATAGAGTCTATAGGACGCACCGAAAATTTTATAAATAAAGGTTTATGTCCTTCCCACTCTTTCATCAACATATCTAGCGAATCACCAGAAATAATAACATAACTACGTACAAAATAAATCTTTTTTAAATTTTTTGGTAATGTTTTACATAAAACTTCCAATATTTGGTTTGCGTCTATAAAAGACTTGTAAGATTCTTTAAATAATCCTAAATTTATTTCCTTTAGCTTAATGCAATTACTAAATATCGGGATTAATTCTTGAGCCAATTCATTTTCATATACTATTGATAAATATTCTAGATTTAGACAATTTTCTCCAATTGATTCGATTAATATCTTTAAATATTCAATAAGTTCTTCTTTTGGTTTACCACTAACCCTAAGCTCTTTAATATTTTCCCCGTTGAGAATAATGAATTCACATATATCTAACAAAGAACCTCTAGAAACGAATTCTATATAAACCTTTTCAACTTTTGGACATATAACTTTATTTATGTTATTAGTAATATGGATATGAGATGCTAAACCATAATCATTCAAAGTTTCCAGGTGCAAAAATTTTAACTTGTTAAATGATATTATTGGATAATATTTGTTATTATTACTATTATCATTATTATTATTATTGTTGTTGTTATTATTATTACTATTACCACTATCACCAACACCACCATCAATATGATCTAAAAGACTAAATCCCACACTATGATATTCAATTAATGATTCTGAATGTGACAATATTGCTTCTTTTAATTCAAATGAATTTACATCGCTATCATTAAGAACATTTGAAGTTATTTTTATTTTTTTAATTTTATTTTGTGCTTTGATCAATCTAGCCAAGCTATCACAATTATTAGTATTGAAATATTGATCGTAATTAATTACAAGTTCTTGAATTTTTGTACAGACATTTGTCAGTTTATCAATATTTTTTGGTTGATAATAATGATTTCCTAATATTAACTCATAAAGGTTCTGGAACCAACTGTTGAAATTAGCATGATCAATAAAAAGTTCAAATTTTGAATTAGCAGCTTGAAGTTTCCTGATACTTGAACAATCCAAGATAAAGCTCACTAATCTTTCTTTAAAACGTTCAAACTTCTCACAATTAATGTAAATCGCCAATTTATTTAAATTATGAGATCCTTCCATAAGATCCAATTCAGTAGCAAATCTTGCATAATTGTATAAAGGTGGTTTCTTTAATGGTTTATATGATGTCATTGAAATGTCGTTTTGAATAATGAAATCTTGATCCTCTACCAATAAACAATTCATTATCATCAGGGTACTTTTAAAAGTACAAAATGGATTTTTCCATAACGTTGCAATGCTTATGTTGTGCCAATGCTTATTAACTAAAACGCAAGAATAAAGCGATTTAAAATCATTTTCAACATCTTTGAAAATCGGAATTAAAAGTTCGGTTGGAAAATAGTGAGCCATGGTCTTCTGTTCTGATTATTTTATTATGGAACCATATAGGTGTTACACGCGATTTTTGACGATCTAAAAAGCAGATTTGTTTGATTGCATTCTAAATATTTAGTAGGCAAAGTCGAACTTGAGGTGTTAATTTAATTTTCATGATCCCGATGGTAACTTGATAAAAAAAACTCTATCACTATCGAAATACAAGCGTATATAATGTTGTAAAAAAAAAAAATTTTAATGTGAATAAAACTGATGCTTTCAAGATTTTTGATATTGGAGGTTTATTTAATGATTTTTCATCCTTTTCTAACTAATCCTGACATTGTCATGAATTGATTTGTTGAAAATAGGAAAAATAAATTTTTAATATCATAAAAGAAAATAAAGCCTTGTCATTTTAAGACTAATGCCTATTTCTATGGATCCCAAACATCAACAAATATCTCTATAATAATATTTGTGGAAGGTATGTATCACTTGTAGCATACAAGGCCAACAAGTGATTTATATCTTATCAAATATATATAATAAATGTATAATAAAATAGTTATATTTTATTATTTGTCAAATCAAAAGTCCAAACAAAAATAATAATTTGAAGAAAAAAAAAGCAAGAATCTGAGCTTGATAGTCTCAAATTTCATAATAAATAAATATATACATAATATATATACATACATAAATAAATAAATATATATATAGCATCAATGATTTACATCGCCATGATGTGATGAATAAGTTGATGCATTGTCTTTATCATCTTCCAATTTTCCTTGAATCACAAAGACACTCGATACAATTTTTGATAATAATAGTGCATCGGCCACAGCACCTAAACACTTCCGCCTATTACTGTTATGGGGGTGATTAATTCCTAAATCTTTCAATAATTCAAGATATTCGTCTCGATGAGTCAACAATGCACCACGCCTTCCACGACCTATAATCACCAAATCTTTGTGGCTCACTGATTCTTTTGCAACTTTGATCGCTGCACGTAATGGTTTAAAAGCTTTTATACTATAATATTTTATACGTGGATTAGATTTCAAAGCACCATCCTCGGTGCCAAAATATCGTTTCAATAATGAATCATCTGTTTCATTTGATGTTTCAAGATCAATGTCTGCCTTGAGCACTTGAACTGATGCCGTGGATATTTTATGTGCAAGTTGAGGTCTTTCAGGTAATTTATTGCTATTATTACCATTATTATTTGAATTTGATGGTTCATTATTGTTTGGATCATAAATAGAATCTGTTGTAAGTCCATCATCACCTTCAGTGGAGGAGATAGGTAATGTTGATGAATGATTATCATTTTCTGTTAGAACAGTTGAATGTGATATTCTGACAACTTTTGCAGAAACATAGGGATGATCCAATAATCTAACAACAAAATTCAACGCCTCTCTATCATCATTGCCACCAAAGAATAGTAAAACAATGCTTATTTGAAAACCAGGTTGTAAAGGCATTGTACCAACGGTTACACCAAGACCTCTATCAACAAAAAAACCCACTGCCGTGTTTACCTCATTGAATACACCTTGTACATAATTGGCAATTTGTGGACTTGTCTCTCTTTTTTCACGTTTTTCTTTTGGACCTAAAAATATTTGATCGACTGAAGGAATTGAGGTATCTTCAATGATAGCACCAGCACCATTCCAAGGAATTATAACCATTTCAGGACCTATTCTTTGTGAATTTTCAGCAACTTCATTTGCAAAATCATTTATAGACACAATTGAAAGATTTGCTTTAATGTTGATGTAGTTTAGTTGACCAAACATACGAAAAACATTCATGATGGGGTCATGAAGAATAGTTTCTTCAGATTCATTGAATTTCATGACAGCAGAGATACGTTGTGTAAGTTCAACAAGTCTTAATGCATGAATTGTTAATGGTTCACTTGAAATATTTGAAGCATTGGAAAGATTTGTGAGATCGTTGTTGTTGCTGAGACTTGTATTGGCGTTGATATTTGTATTTGATAAAGGCCTTGATTTTCCATCACCGAATTTTTCATTCAGATTATTTGCAGCTCTTGGAGGAGTTGGTATGGGTTGTAGTAATTGAACCAAAGTCATCATTGCAGGCAAATATTCAACTTTATTCAATACAATTAACAATTTGCTGCCACTTTTCCCTTGTAAAGTAGTTTCAGATTCATTATGATAAGTAGAATTTCTTCCTTTTTCATCTACACTATGATCTAATTTTCTTTTATTTTCTGGATAAACAAACAGTGCAAGTGGCGTTGTAAGAAATGTTGTAACAATTGCCCTAAAATGAATCATTAAATTTATAAAAATTATTATTAGTGCTGTTGTAATTATTATCGTATTATGCATGCATACATACATACAATACATATATATATATATATATATATTAATGCTTACATGGTGACCATAATTGCAAAGACTTTTTCATTAATAACATGAGCATCGTAACCAATGTTAAGTACAATCAATTCCACTAGTCTATATAAATAAAAAATCAACATATATGCATTAGATCAATACACGTATGTGTGTGTATGTGTATGTGTAAATTGATTTACCCTTTACAACTCATAAAAATGCCAATGGTCAATGATTCTCTCCAAGTTAAACCATTAAGTCTGGCAGCTAAACCAACACCTATTATTTTTCCAAACATGGCAGTACATATCACCAAAACTGTCCATCCTAAGGTTTCTAAATCTCTTAGAAGACCCAATTGTGTTTTTAAACCAGATAAGGCAAAATACTATAATGTATTTTTTTTTAATTATATAAAAAATTATAATATATTGAAATTAAATAAAATTAAAATAATAATAAAAAGGTTACTCACAATTGGTAAGAATAAAACATTGACCAAATCTTCAATTTTTTCTGTGATTCCAACAGCAAAACCACCCTCATGTGGAACAATTACACCCATGATGAAACCACCAAAAATCGAATGTACACCAATGATATTTGTTACAAAAGCAGAAATCAATACAAAGGTTAGAGTGAATGCAGTCATTGTAAGAGTAGGGCCATTGTCATTACTTCCAGTTTCCACAATAAGATAAAGTAACAAAGGACGAACTAGAAATACTACAATTAGGATCCAACCAATACACAATAAAAAAATGTAAAAAGCGTTTATCGAGTTTGTTGAATTAACAATTGATACCACCAAAGCAAGTAGAACCCATGCAATTACATCATCATTAACACTAGCGGTGATTGCAGTAGTTCCGACTGTAGTTTTTAAAAGCTTCAATTCTGATAAAATTCTGGCAAGAACTGCAAAAGCCTTTTTTTTTTTTTACAAAAAAAAAAAATCATAATTAAATTAGTATAATTACATATATAATAATAACTATAATCAATCAATCAATCAATCAATCAATAAATTATTTACTTACAGTGACGGCCATACTTGTACCAATGAATAATACGAAACTTGTGAAAGGGGTAGCATCATCAGCAGTATAGAAAGCATTATACAATCCATAACCTATAGCTATGCCAAGACTAAAAGTCAAAGTTAAACCAGATGCAGATATAGTGATAGCTTTCCTTGCATTTCTTAATATCAAACTAGGATTCAATTCCACACCAATGAGAAAAAGAAACAATACCAAACCCAAAGTTGCCAATAAGTTAAGCATTGGTAGTGATGGTCCAGGGAAAATACTATCCATAAAATTTGGTATACGACCCATGACTGTTGGACCCAGAATTATACCACCAACTACTTCTGAAATGACCCTTGGCTGACGAAAACGTGACAGCAGCAAGTTTAAACTACGAGTAAAAAAAATTATCAACACAACTTGAATTATAAAAAGTGTTATAGGATCATCCGGATTATAATGTGTTGGAATTACGCCGGCTAATACACCACCAGCTGTACCCATTTTTTTCTTTCTTTTTTAACAAATGATTAATGAATTAAAAAGTAGAATAGATGTGGATTAACTAAATTATCGAATGTTTTTAATTAATTTTAAATTATAAAAAAGGTTAGTTTTATGTTAATTAAATAAATTGCAACGTGCCTATGACGGAGAAAAATGACGAAAATAATAAAAAGCTAAACCTTATTAATATTATAGCGTTTTTAATCATGCCTTTTTGAAATAAAATTTATGGACGATTTTCAAGATTAATATATAGTAATATTAGTAACATTACAGGAAAAAAGTAATCCCCTTTTAGCTATGATTACGTGTATTAGGTAGTGTATGAAACTAGTTCAATTTTTACCATTAGTGATAAAATCTATATTAGACTTGAATCAATATTTGACGGATGAACGTCATATTATAAAAAAAATATTGTTCATTTTTCTTGGACCCTACAGTTGTACTCATGTTATTGATCTAGATAATCCGCATCGTACAACTTTGTTTGTTTTGAATAAATAATAAACAGATACACATAGTGATTAACCATACACTTAATAACTCCAAGTTATTAATTAGTTATTAACCACTTATTAAAAAAAAAAAACTTTGCAAAATAACAATAGGGCTTCCAAATTAGGAAGACTTGGTCTGTATATATATAGGTTATCCTTGGGTTAATTAATAACTCTTGCTTAGAATGAAATAGTTAATAAGTCACTAATAGTTATTAACTACTTTATCATTTTAGATAATTTTTACGCCCATTACTAGATACAACTAAAATGCCAAGAATTTTATTATATATGTAAATGAGACATTTCACAGCCTCTAAAACTCCAATCAAATTTGGTTTTTTAAACTATAATTAGTATAATTGAAAATCTTAAACCCTGTTTACATAATAATAATAATAAAAAAGGGAATTGAGTGGATGACAGATAATTTTTTTTATATGAATAATGCGTGATCTACAAATTCAGAGGCTTGCCAGATAATAAACTTTTTGAATTAGGGATGGGTTCAGTTTACAAATCTCCAATTTGGCTAGTGAGTCTCATCAACCGGCGGTTTACCATCAATTTTATAATATCAAATTATTTATAATAAAATAAAATTATTTGTTATAGTTAAAGCTATTTTAAACATTACTACTATATATCATCTTCATGTTTGTTTGTGTTTGCATCAAATAGGTGGAGTTCCGCCTGAACTCTAGATCAATATGTGGCGCCAAAGTTCAATTAATTATGGTTGAAATATCAGTTTAAAATCCTCCATGAGATTATAGAATTATGAGCCTTCTTCATAAATTATGTACTTTAGCTGTCCCATCATGAACTTGCAATCCATGCCATAGAACAATATTGAATATAATGATATGATCATTATTATTATTTGTAAAAACGTTCCTTTCTTATTTCCCTTCCAAATGGTACTGTTGTGAATTTGGATTCACGCGCGTGAAATTCAAATTAGCCAATCAGAATTTTGTAAGTTACAGATTTAATTAATAAATTAAATAAATTACAAATTTATTATAAGTGACATATTAATATATGAATTTTTAAAAAATATCCGGTAAACCGAATTTATATGAAAAAGTTAAATCCGTTAAAATTGTTATTATTATTTATTTGCTAGTCAGACAGGATTTCACGCGATCGACATGTCTACTGTCATAGCTATGTAAAATTTTTGTGAAACATGTCAATTTTT